GTACTATGGTTGTTTTCTATTTATACCACACCTTTTCTATCCTTCCAGAAAGACTTGATAGCTGAAACAAAAAAATAAAATGATAAATTCTCTGAATACTTTACCATTCTCCTCAATAATATATCATAGCTTTATGTAAAGTATTCTATTAAAAAATAAAAGTAAAGTATTAAGGAATAGTGGTTTGGATGGCCGATTGAAGGCAGATCCCTGAGATAGAATTCCTTATGACTTTGGACATATAACTTTATTTGAACAACTTTATTTATTCTCACCCAGTCTAAGTTTCTTCACCTGAAAAATAGAGATGATAGCATAAATACTTCATATAATTGTTATAAATTTATATGAAATAACTCATTTGTAAAGCATATAAAACATAGGACATGTCATATGTTTAATACCTGTCATAATAAGTACTTCATAAACATAATTTATTTTTAGTAGGAACAATGCTCATGTTAACCAATATTACTCATGAAAAGACTGTATCAAGTCACAAATCAATATATACTATATTTCATTCCCAAAAAATTTCCTCTATAAACAATATATCTCCTATAACACCAGCCCAAGTAGTGTAACAATATGTTTATGCTCAACAGTAAACCAGGATATCTCCAAGGCTTGCAATTGCTTGCCCTGACAACAGCACATAACATTTTTAGCACACAGCATTTCATTGTGTTCATCAATAGGAATGATCAATAAATACGATCAAGCTATAATAAATTAGATGTAACCACTTATGGAGGGATCAGCTATAATAATAACATGAAAATGCTAATTATGCATCATCAAGTATATTATTTCAAATCAAACATTTATAATTCTAATGTCTTTAAAGAGGGGACTCTGTAAATTTTTTAAATTCCAGCATTAAATTCCTTGAAGACAAAACTGCCAGTGATTTTATTGAATAGAGTACTTTAAATGCTAAATCAAAAGTAATAAAAATATCATTCTCTTCTTTACTTCCAGGAAAGAGTAAAAATTATATAAGAGCTTTCAAGTCTCACTGCTCATGAAATAAGTCAGATGTTTAATGGAATTCAAATTTAGGAAGTTAGAAATAGTTAAAACGTATAACACACCAGTCAAAATATGACTACTACCCTTTCCACAGAGCATCCCCTAGTGGCCTCATATATTAAGATTTTATTTTACAGATGAAGAAACTGAGCCAAGGGGAAGGAAAACAAGCTCACACAATTTGTCAGTTGTGTAGCTCCAATTATTAACCAGTTTTCTGGCCCCTTAGTTCAGTGTTCTTTCCAAATTCGGAGACGGACTGTGAGTTTGCTCTGGCATTACAGCCCCTGATTCTTAATATACTTATTTCGACTGCTTCACACTAACTTAGCTGCCATACATCCATTCATGCCTGCACCCCTCCCCCTTTTCTGTGTTTCTTTTCTCCCGTTTGATTTCACATTATGCGCCGTTGAATGAAGAAGGGCTTTTTCAACTTTGCAGACCCCGAAATCAATCACCGGAGAGCCACTGTCTACCCAAATCCTATGAAAAAACAAAACTGATTCACACATAAACCACGTCCCCTGTTGAGCAGCAGAGACCTGAGCATCTCCTATATCTTTAGCCTCCGGGTTTACCTCCTTCTATCAACCTGCCATAAATAAGTCTCCTAAAGTAAGAGTAATTTAGCACCGTGGGCCAGTTCAAGCACCCTAACAACATTATATAACAACTGGAAGTAAAAGCTGCTCTTTAGAAGGAGAGAACATGCTTAAAAAGCAATGTTCAGGTTTAGCTGTGGGGCTTCCATTGTCCCCGGCAAATCTTCTGTGGCGGAACCTGGACAGGGCTTTGAAAACACTGCCCAACTGCCTTCCCTTCACAGCCATGTACACCTTCCCTTAGTCAGTGAACAGACAGTCCTCCTTTGATTTTATTTGTTACCTTTCATAAATGTTCTTGGCCTGTAATTCTTCAGAGTATATATAACCCATCTAAAAAGGAAAGGTGACCTTATTTTTTCCTTATAGTTCTGTAAACCTTGTTGAAACCAACAGTAGCTATGAAGTTGCCACACAGAAACATTCCCGTGTCCACAAGTTAATTTTCTAACAAGCCGCTGCTTGACCACCACTGGCCTGTGTGCCCTAACAAGCAGAGGGACCTGCGTAGACTCCCTGCAGGATAAACCGTGAGGAAATCCCGCGGTCTACTAGGCAACATTTGAAAACATCGCATTCTTCCTGGCAGCCTAATTGTACAGCAATACATATTCGTTTTATTTGTCCCCAGAAATGGATTTTAAATTACCCTAAGTAGCCTCTGTATCCAGGAGGTTGCACTGAGAAAAAAGGAAAGGAGAGGAAAATTGTCTATTTAAAGCACAATTGGGCTTGGACTTTTTTTTTTTCTTTTTTTTTTTTTTGCTTGCTCTTGAGCTTGGAGAAGCGAGAAAAAGTGCCTAGCTTTCCCCCTTGATTAAAAACATCTTTTCTCTCTCTCTCTCTCAGGTCAAAATAATACAGATGGCTTCATAATGTCAGCTCCTGGACCTTACAAAAAACTTGTTTCGCAGCGGCCTCCTGCATTTTATGAAGAGCAAGAAACAACTGAGTTTAAATATACACACATATTGACAAAACAAGCACCAAGCCTCGCGTACACTGGGACACACACACAAACACACACCGAGGCGCACGCCGACTCCGCTCGGCCTCCTTTTCCAACCTGAGATAAATAGACAAACACGCAGGACGCGCCCGCCTCGGATCTCCCGCAAGCAGGCCCCGCCCTCCCAGGCCTCTGGAAAGTGCAAAGGGCACGAGCTGGCGTCACCTGCTGCCACCCCTGGCTCTGCGGCTCGGCCCCTGGGCCCCTGTGAGCCCGAGAGTCCTGTCTTCTGCACTCCACACGTCTTGACAGCACCGCGGCTCTGTAGGCAGCGACACTGCGGAAACGAACAAACGAAACCTGCCGTGAGGACCCTGTAGCCAAAGCCCGAAATGGCAGGTGGTTGCCCTAAAGGCTGTACCGTGCATACTTGCCTTAACCCACCTCAGTTGTGCGCCCGAGACTCTCAGTGCAGAACATCCCCGAGTCACTTCCTTTAGGCTAACACACTGCTGTTAATTCCGAACGAGTCTGAGTCTGTATGTTTTATGTCAGGAAACGAGACTGAACAGCCCAGCAGCTCCAGTGTGTCTGTGTGCAAAAACTGCCAGCTGTCAGCAAAGTGCTTTACCGCTGAGCCTCCATGGGGGCCAAAAGACACAAGGAACAGTAACAACAACAATAATAACCGTCATCTTTGTAATTCTTAAATATGGTCTCCTGACGGGATTGGGTGGGATAAAGTAAAACTTAATAATCTACTACAATCGTTAATCTACTGGAAGCAGAAAGCAGAAATGGCATAACTCACTGGTTTTATTTATCGCACTCTAGGTGCTTTTATAAGTATCTACAAATGTCTTACACTAACACAGAAACAGCTGTGGATTTCTATCAACAGAGGCCAACTGAATACGTATTAGCTATGTTTACTCTTTTATATCTAATTCAAATGGAAGACCCTATGTAGGTGAACTTTTTTCCTAACTTCAGCGTATGAGATTATTTTTGGGGTGGGCGGGGTGGGGGGAGCAATAGTTACCTTGGTGAAATATTTGAGATCTCTTTGTGGTGACTGGGGGATCTGTTGTGTGTTAGAGTGTACTTTAATCCTCCTGTATTATTGTGGCAGAAAAACTGTGCTGTTAACGTAGTTGGCAACAAGATGCCTTTGGAAACTTAATAGTAGGTCAATGTGTTTATGGAATATTCTGAATTTCTAGGAAATTTTGTTCTCTATATTCAAGCATTATTTGGTTTTCATTAGTGAGAAACATAATTAGCTCAGGCTTGTCAGGAACTCAGATGAGTCATGTTTTTTTTCTTGGATCCATCTGAGACATGAAAATCTATTTTTTAAGATGAATATACCATCCTTCAATGCAGCGAAATTCAGACCTGAAAAGTTATACATTGGCATGAAGCAACTTTTTCTCTTGGTTTCTATGAAGTTTCAGTTATTGGGTTAACCTACCTTGGACCTTATTCCATCCAGAACTACATAAACCAGCCCCATTACCGTGTTGCATGGATATCTATGATATACACGCATATACACTTGAAAACGATAAAGGAACAAAGGTTCCTATTGGAACATAAACTACAAAAAGAGGGTTCCAGCACTTGTGCTTGAATTTCCTCAGTGGCTTTTATATGTTTGTCCATACATACATGTATAAAAACATACAATTGCAAACATGTCAGTGAAACCTCATCTGATGATTTTTATAGTGACATGCATGTTTAATATATGAAAAAAAGTATTTACCAATGTATTGTCCTTTGATTCTTAAAATACAAATACTCTACATGCCAGAATCTAATATAACTGTTACTGTGACTATTAAAATGAGGTTTCACTCTACATTCATGCTGTGATCGGACTCCACCTTCTAGGACATGTATATGGATTGGAATTGAAATGCACAGAGAATAAGCCCTCATAGTCCTGCCTTAAGTTGCAGCCAACTTACCACCTAATCACTACTATCATCACCACCAAAATTTTCAAAAACAGTTGTTGACTACTAAAAAGTAATCAGTGGACAGGTCGTTTCTGGGAGCAGTGAGCACAGTAGTGTGGTTACATCTGGGGAAACATTGAAGTTGTACAGCTGTACCCTCCTCAAAATCCAGTGAAGAATGCTATTTTTCTAGGCTGAGCTTTTGTTATAAACCTAATATTCAGAAGGCAAGAGTTACAAACCTGATGTGTCTTTTCCCTTTTTTTTTTTTTTTTGCGTTTGTTAATTCTGAATGTATTTTTAATAGAGTGATTTTTTTGACTTACTAGTGTAATTTGCATTTTAAAAATAAATGGAAAAACAATTATGTTTCCGAGCCTTCCCTGAAAGCCCCTGCTCCTCACAGTGCACCTGATTATGTCCCTGACAGGCGAACCCCGGGAAATGTACCGGAGGCAGTGCTGATGCCCCTGGCATGCTGAGCAGGGATGTGTCAAAAAGAAAAAGAAAATGCCAGGTCACGGCACCATTTTAGCTCAGTCATATAGGTCGCATGTGCTTTCATTATCTTCTATCATTGAGGGTTTTTTTACGAGACTGCCTGGAATAGACTTGCCATCATTTGAAGAGCTTTTTTTTACCCACTTCTATCTGGAATTTAGGGTTAGCATCAGGCTGTTATCTGACAGAGGTGTTAGGGCACTATATAAAGAACCTTTGGTTAACACAGGTAGAGTTTTTTACCTTTTTTTACACAAATAATTTAAAATAAAATGCTCATTTATTGCCCATTTGATGGCATGGCCTTTGATGGCAACTATAGTGAAGCCTGTTGGGGTAGGATAAGCAGTTAGAAAAGATTAACCCCTGGTATTGGGGATTGTCCCACCATAATTTCAGCTGAGGGTCACTGTAGGGACTAAAGGGACAGAAGGCAGAAGACTGGAGCTGCTGGTGAGGGTGTGTCTTTGCTCTCACTGTGCAGACACCAGCCCCAGAAGCCAAAGCACCAAAATTAATTGAAAACAAGGAAAGCTTTGAGGCAGCATTCCGAGAAGCTGAAGACCAACTTGTGGTTCTCACCACATGGTGAGAGCCTGGAAAAGAGCAAGCCTTGTTTTCACTTTTGCTTCCAGTGTGGACTGCGTGCTGACGCAGATGCGCTGAAGTAGGTGCGGAGGACGGTCGGGTTGTCGCTCACACTGGGAGGTCACATGCACACGATATCTCAGTTGATTATAAAGAGACAAAAGTTAATAGAGCAAATACATACAGATATATATGTATATATATGTATATATATAATCTCCTAAAGAAAGGAAAAGATTCCTTCTTCTGGAGTTCTCAATTAAACTGTGTGCATTCAGTAAATAACACTACCAAGGTCTTCATTTGGTAACTATTAAAAAACATAATCTCTGATACAGCAAAGCAAATATGTAACATTCCACTGCACTATAACAACTGGGTTATTTAACTCAGAAATACAAATTCATTTTAAATGGGTCACATTGTAGAACAAAGTTCTGAGAGCCAACCCGTTAGTAACTCGCTACTCCACAACAAAACCCAGAATATGTGTACTCAGGTCGGAATAGAACAAAACATGTCCCAGACACTGTCAGCTGGCCCTGGACTCTAAATCAGAATGAGCCCTGGTAAAGAAGCCCCTACGGGAGTATAAAATCATGAAATGCTTCCGAATTATTGTGTACTAGGTTCAGCATAGTCTCAGTGTTAAATATGTTTTATTATGTTATAGTTCTTTTAAAGACCAGTAACTCATACTCATATGTAATTATATATATCCATATGTGTATATATGTTCTATATTAGATAATTATGTTCAGCTTCATGGTTAGAAAATTTTCTATTATTTTATAACACATTTATGAATAGCTAATATTAGAGAAATTGAGATTACTTAAACTGTCCCATCTTAAATACTTCCTTTGATTGTAAAGATACTCTTCCTTCAGACATTTTATGTCTTTGGCAAAATTTTGGCACTCAACACTTGTACTCAGGAAGCTTTGATATCAAGATCTTTACATCTTAAAAAAAAAATTAAGCCCCAATTATTCTCATCACATGTGAATCTTTGCTTAGGATTCATATTCAATCCTATTTTCATTGTACTACATCTACCTTCCACTTACTTTCAAGAAGGGAAAGAACAAAGTCTGTGATTTATATATGATGCCCAATGTTAAACTTACTAGTATCTTGAAACAATCATTTTTGAGAGCGAATTCTCTAAGACATTTATGTACACTGTGCCTTTTAATTCAACAAAAAACCGAACAAAAATACATTCAAGGGTCCCATGAGATATGACTGCCAGTGACAACAAAGAAAACAAAGGTGAGTTCCTTCCAGATCTTCTTATAGTCTCTAGAATTCTAAAGAAAGTCATTTTAATCCTTAAACATTATGGAGTTTAGAAGCAAATGAGCTTAAAATTTTGATGGGAATGAAAGTTGATTTCTGTAAGATAAATTCAGAGAGGAAAATCCTTTTATAAGCCACATGTGGATGCTCTGACACCGTCTAAAGCATTATTGAAATTGATGTAAGCCTTCTCTGTAATGAGAGCACAGAATTGTGGCACCTTAATAATAAAACAGGTATATTTTTTAACCTCTCATTCTACCCTCATATGAATTTAAGCTGTAACAGCAATGAAATAAAATAACTCCCCAAAAGATTGCAAATTGATGCTGTCATCCCAAGGATGATGGATTGATTCAATTAATCGGTAAGTCTTTTCTAAGAGTCCTTCGGGGAGTGTTTACCAGAGGCATACCCTGTTTATTCCTCTCCGTGCGCCTGTCATTTTTCTTCATTATTCTTCTAGTTTTACTCATTACATCCTCGGGGACTCTGTGGATCTCCACGTGCAGAGAGGTTTTGCGCACAGCTGTCTGGACATCACGCTTCCAAGCCTCACGCTGGAGGCACCTGAGCACCTGTGCCTCTTGTCACTGTCGTCTCCGGCTGAGCAAGGCTCTCAGGGTGAAGTCGGGCAAAGGGACACGAGTTACAAAACGGTAAGTCACTGGGAGAGCATCAAGCTGAGTGAAGACCATGGAAGAGCCTCCACTGGTAAGGATGTGACAACCGGCGCTCCACACACTAGGCAGGCACTGGCCTTCCCGTCTCCAAAAGCAGGCAGGCAGGGAAGAGGAGGGGACTGAGCCCCTGGACCCTGTGCTTGTGATTCGTGGAAAAACAAAACACTCGGTGATTGTGTTGTTTTGATGAAAGGTAAATATTCTTAAACAAGAAATATTTCCATTTCTAATGTGCAATCATCTGTCAGTTCAAATTGTAAAGAGTAAAGACCCAGGGTGAAGATGTGTGGCTAAGCCCAAGGGTAAATCTTGCTATCAGGGTTGACTATGTAGTTTGTGGGGCCCCGTGCAAAATGACAATGTAGGGCCCCTTGTTCAGAGAGTCCCCTCATTCACTACCAGTACTGACATACTAAGTTTTTTCCTTAAAAATTATTTTATCTTCAGTCAATGTAAATGAATATGATACCAGTCACTCTTGGCAAAAGCATCAAGACTGGTTTTTGATCATTTTTAATTTTGAGAAGAATCTTCCTGCTGATGCAACTATTACTGGCGCTATGAAGACTATTTTATAAATGATGACAACACTGGGATAAGTTTCTCATAAATTATTCTGAAATATAAGTAAATTTTTGTCATTTGAGTTAATGGCTCAGATCAATTTTTCTAAAAGGATTTAAATCTTCATAAAAGTTTAATTAGGTCTGAATGTAATTTTAAGTAAAAATTAAACAGTAGCATTTTAGTGTTTTCTCTGCCATTTCCTGTAACTTGTCGAAGTTGTTCAAGAAGGCAAAATGGCTTCGTGATTTCTACATACTTGAAAATATCCACTTGTGTTTTCGGTTGCCGTATCTTCAATTACAAGGAAAATCATTTTAAAGTTGTCTTTCTCATTAATAATTTGTTCATCTGAGGCACCATATGAAAATAGTTCTTTTCAGTTTACTGCTAATGCTATAATCTTTACATTTCAGGCCTACGTGTAAGCCTGAGGATATTTGTTTCACAATGTTGCAGCAGTCTTTAAAACAGACTCTGAACTCTTTGAATAATTCTAATAACTCTAATAACTCTGATATGCTCTATTGCGATGTCCATATGTATACTTTTATCTTGTAATAATTTACTGACAGTTTACTGCCTGAGCACCAGCAATTTCTGTCCCAGCACTGAGCCAGAGTTAATATTTGTGCAGAAGCCGCAGGGACCGGCCTCTTGGGGAATGAATGGACAAGCTGGCCTCCCACAGTTCCCAGGGCTGCCCAGGGCCCTGCTTTCCCAGGGGTACAGCTGCCACTTCTGCGGCTGCTGCCACTGGCACCACTGCCAGTCTGGTCCCAGGTGTCTCCTCAGCCCAGCGGCTCCTCCGACCGCCCTGAGGCAAACCAGGCCAATTGCTCTGCACGCTGCGTGCGATGCCCGGGGGGCTGAGCCACTGTCGTTGGCTACTGATGCTAGATCACAAACATCCACATGGGCTGTCACTCCAGGGCATCTCCTCTGTTCCCCACGTGCTCAAAAATGATGTATTGACCATTTCATGAAGACGATAATAGAGCATTAAACCAAACGTCAGACTCCTCTGAGCATGGGGCCCATTGTGTGGTGGCACATGTCACATGCCCATAAAGCTAGCCCTGCTGAAGCCAAGAGTAAAAAATTATTCTGTCCCTACCCCCACCTCAAACTTACCCCCATTTTGTTACTGGAATAAAATCACTGTATTGGTTTCCTATGGCCGTTGTAACAGAGTACCACAACTCGGTGATTGACAACGGCATACACTTATTGAGATCATCTCCAGGAAATCAGGAGTCCAAAATGGGGTTCACTGAGCTAAAATCAAGGTGTCGGCAGGATTTTGTTCCTTCTGGAGGCTCCAGAGCAGAATCCATTTCTTTGCCTTTTCTGGATTCTGGAGGCTGCCTGCATTCCTTGACCAGAGGCCCTTTCATCTATCTTCAACATCAGAAGTGTAGCATCTTCAAATCTCTCTCCGATTCTATGAACTGTAAATGCATCCTCACATCTCCTGCTCTGACACTGAGTTTTCTATAATATATAACATCCGTTTAGATTCACATCAACCTGAGAAAATATGAAATATATTGAACATTTTTCACATAAGCATAATATAAATTAACTTTTAAGTATTTATTAACTAAAAATAATACATGCACACATTAGAAATATAAATACTGAAGAAATTTATAAACTGACAAAAGTCATCTACCCATACATTCACTGTATTTCTCTCCCATTTCATGTGTGTCCTTCCAGAAAAGAA